ACGCGCGCAGGCGCACACGCGCACGCGCGCACGCGCGCACGCGCGCACACGCACGCGCGCCGCGCACTCGCACGCACACGCACACGCACACGCACACGCACACGCGCACACGCACACACGCACACACGCACACACGCACGAACGCAGGCATGCACGCACGCACACACCCACACACCCACACACACACACACACGCAGGCATGCAGGCGCGCAGAGTCGCACACACACACACACCCACATGCCGGGGGGGCTCCCACAGCAAAGTACGTGGCGTCTGAAGCTTGTTATCGCATCATGGCTTGTACAATGCACAGCCTACCAGCCGGAACATGGTGGGACACATGTTGACAAAGCGTCTTGACACACCGCATTATGAGGCACTTCACACACTAGGCACTTTGCAAGGCACGTTGCAAGGCACGGCGTGGGGACAGGCAAACGGAGCACTCGCGATGCCTCGCGCCCTTGTTTCTTGCGCAGGGCTCAGCCTTTTACGGCTGCCGCAAATGCGACTACGACGAGTGCGAAGCCTGCGCCATGACACCACGGCCAGCTCCAAAGGCTCCCGGCATACTGGCTTGCGATGAGCAAGCGTCGTTGCCATTGTTTGCTACGCACCGGGGGTGGGGGGTGTGAGTAGTAGCAATTTGTGACAGGCGGAGGAAGAGAAACCTGACACTCCGAGTTTGAGCCTTTTGGCCTCTCTGAGCAATGCGCCTCGCTCTTGGCCCAGGTGCCAAAACCCCTTCACCTCGGAAAGGTGGGAGATCCGTTTCTTTCGATTCTGCTGGCAAACACAGCAGCGAAGGAGCGAAGAGCGCGTCAGAAGCTCAGACAACTCGAAGCTTGTGTTGGCGGTTGCGCGTGAAGGCCGAGTGCGAAGAAAGGCGCGACAGTCAATCGGGCCAGGAATAAGATGAATGGGCTGGGATCGCGAGGTTCGTCGAGCTCTAGCTCCACGAGTGAGCACGAGACCTCATCTCGCAGTCCCAAGGCCATTTGGATGTCGTTTGAGGGTCGCATTTCTGCACAAATCAAGGACGCGAGAAAAAAGGACACCAAAAAGGCTGGCATTCCCTTGCGCAAGCACAGATGCAGAAAATGAGTGACAGGCAAGTTCCAAGGAAAGCAAGGAGAAGGAGACCAAAGAAAAAGAGACCAAAGAAGCCAAGGTGAAAGATCCCAAGGAGACGAAAGAGAAAGAGGGTAAGGAGAGTAAGGAGAGTAAGGAGAAGGTGAAAAAGGGCGAAGCCAAGCGCGAGGTCGGCGCTCGGCAAGAGCAAGAACATGGATCGAGGAACGCACACACACACACACACTCCATGCAAGGCCCGAGACAAGCGAAAGGCTGCCAAAGTGAAGGTCAAGAAGACGGTCAAAAGGCGCTTGCTTTTCTGGTGCCGTCCGGTGTCACTTGGTGCCATTTGCTAGGCCCTCTAAGACTGCCAAGTCCAAGTCTAAGTCAAAATCCTCAGAGAGGTCCAGCGAGGCACGGGGTGGCGCAGAGAAGCGGAATTAGAATGGAGTCAATCTTTTCACAATATTAGAATCCCAGGCGAAGACCAAGCGTGCGAAGAGCACTTCGGAGCGCGTGAAGGAGCAGTTCGGCTTTGGAGCCAACCTTCGCAGATTTTGAGAGTAGACGAGTCATAGACGAGAGTAGACCAGTCGTGTTGAAGCTTCTTGTCAGGCTTGGGCTCCGCTGTTGCCTTCCCTGCCCATGTACTGCGTCAAGTATCACCTCTTCGGGGCCAATAGACGAATCGCCTTCAATCTTGCCTCTTTCAGTTTGCAACGCAGTTTGTTGTTGCTGTCTCTGATTCGAGGACCCGAAGCTGGTTCCACGCCGGGGGCAGGAGCGGTGGGAGCCGAAGCGGGCCAAGAAGTCAGCCGAGGCCAAGGCGGGCGGCCGGGACAAGTCGTTTACCAGAGCCTTGAGTGCTGAGGTGTCGCCCAAAGCCTCGCGCTCAAGGGACACCTCGTCCCCGCGCAGCGAGGCAATTGAATTACAAGCGCAAGCGATTTCCGCAATGGTCGGGATGGGCAGGAGCCCCCAAAGAAAAGAGCCGCCAACGCGCTGACGGCCACTTGCTGAGGGAAACTACACGGCCTTCGCACGAGAAAGTTTCCGCATGTGCAGCATGCTCAGGTGTCCGAGCAGAGAGGTTGGCGCCGCATATGTTTCAACTCCGATTCTTCCTGTGTGGCAACAAACCACTGACTGTTGGGGGCACCGCATTGGGAAACGCCCGCACATGTCAAGAGCCTTTGCTTGTGTTTACTTTAAGCGCCGGCTTTGCGCAGCCCCAGCGGTGAGCCTCACGCGTGCCACGCTGCGAGCTCAGAGATGCCCCCAAACTTAGGGGTACCACTCTTATTTGGCACTAGCAATTAAGTTAAGCGCAAGCCACTGTTCAAACACATGCACATCCCTCGCTGTTTGGTACAAGGCCTTGAGCCTACATTGCCCAGATAGAAAAGACTACAGCTGTGCCGAGTCATCACAGGTTTACACATTCAGGTAGTTAGGAGTTACACAGTCAGATCTACTTTAACATGGTAGCGGAGCAGTGATGCCTGGCACACGGTTCTCGACCGCTACCCAGGGTGAGCTCCAACACGCACTCACAGGTTCAGGTACACAGGTGAGCAACATGGCGGCGCAACAACAACAGCAACAGGAGCAGCAGGAAGGAATCCACAAGTACAAGATATCACCACCACGGTTCACAGGAGAACGCAACACCTTCGAGGAATGGAAATACAGGGTGACAGCATACTTGGGACTACAAGACCCAGCATACAACAGACTCCTCAGACAGTCAGAAATCAGTAGGACAAGTTACAAGCGACCAACTGGAGAATGCAGCACCTTCACAACAACTGGCAGAGCAATACAACTTACTCTACATCTTAGTGAGCGCATGCGAAGTACCAGCATCTACAATCTGCAGACAAAACGCACAAGGCAACGGCTTTGAAACATGGCGGCTGACACATTCAAGGTATTCCAAAGAGCGTTGGGTACCTTACACGGCTACTAAAACCACAACTTGATGAACAGACGTTCGAGGAGAGCTTCACAACTTGGGAGTTCCAACTAGCCAAGCACGAACAAAACACCACACTACTACCAGCTGCAGTGAAGATTGCAGTACTGCTCAATGAGACAAAAGGCCCACTACAACAACACCTACAGCTGCAAGCAGTAAACATCACAACATATGCACAGATCAGATCCATGGTGATCGAATACTACAGAGCAACACCAACATTCACCAGGCTACAAGCAATCGCATCAGGCACCAACAACCAAGGACCGGCACCGATGGACATAGGAGCAACATGGTACAACAACGGCGAAGGAAAGAAGGGCAAAAACAAGGGCAAAGGAAAATACAACCAAGGCAAAGGCTACGGGAGCTACGGGAACAACTGCAACTACAAAGGAGGAAAAGGCAAGTACAATCAACAACCGGTGGGACAAGGAAATCCTTTCAAAGGACAACAAGGATATGTCAAAGGAAAAGGATACAACAACAAAGGAAAAGGAAAAGGAAAAGGATACAACAACAACCAACAAGGAGGAAACGGAGCAAAAGGAAAGCGTGCAGCAAGGACAGGTTGGCGTGATAGCACCGACCGCAACACTTACACCGCAAGGTCCTCTGGCAGTTCAGTGAACTTGTCAGAGTACACAGACAACACAGGAAGACACTCTTCGCACCATCAAGGACACAATGTCCAATGTCCAATTCCAACGGAACAAGTTGAGGACTACAGAAGGACAACCATCAAATCTAGGGATGGTGCGTCGAGCGCGTTTGATGACAAGTATCAAACAATGGACGCTCCAAACAAAGCACAAGCAAATGTGGAAGCTAGAAACAGCATTCAGAATCAAGAAATGTACAACCCTACCAGAGACATTACAGCAACAGCTTGCAGCGACGCAGCCAGAGAGTGCGCCACAGAAAGTCACACCACAAGTAATTCGGTACAACCCAAGGACACAAGTGAGAGAGAAACAACACCAACAACACAAGATTCAGCAGCGCCGCGCACCACCACGGGTGCAGCTGGACATGGGCTACCACATCCTTCAGAAGTACGTCCTGGAGGAGACTACTGGCGCAGAGAAGGCCTGTACTGGAAGAGAGTACACCTCGAACAGCGTTTTACATACCAGAGCAGACACACGACGGGCCAGACATCAAGCGACTCATACCTTGGAGACAGACCAAGGTACAACCAGTGAGAGAAAGGCGCAGCACAAGATTGGTAGAAGATGAATGGACAACACAGCAAGCCAAGACATCAGACAAGCCGGGGACTGGAGGAACATCAGGAGTTTCCTACACAACTTGAATCAGATGATGAAGAACAACAACAAGGAACAAAAGTGAAAGTAGTACAAGCACCCAAGCAACCAACACCACAGGAGCTACTCGAGCACAACGTGACACACCTTCCTTGCAGGAGTTGGTGTCCCAGATGCGTACAAGCAAGAGGCAGGCAGAACAATCACCCCCAAAGCAACACAGTGCGCAGCTCGACTTCGGCTACATCAAAGGGTTTGATGACGGCAAGGCACATCCAAGCCTCACAGCAATTGACATCCAATCCGGGATGATCATGGCCATACAGTTGGCCAACAAGAGGATGTTCTTGGACTATGCAGTCACACAACTACAACGCTTTCTCATTGAATGTGGAAGAACAACACACTCCATTCTACAGTCAGATCAGGGAGACTTCCTGACATCACTGATCACAGCAGTGGCCAGCAAGAATGGCAACATCGCTACAAGGAGCCCAGGAGCATTCACGCAAGGAGGAGTAGAGCGAGAGCACAGAACATTGTCAGGCAGAGCTACAACCGAGACATCACAATGGAGCATCCACTCACGCGCCTTGGATAGTTCGACGCAGCGCGTGCATCATAAACAGGTACGTGGTTCGCAGCAACGGATGCACAAGCCATTTCAACAGATGGAACAGAGAGCAACACACACCACATTGTGAGTTTGGTGCGACAGTGCAACACATGCTTCCAACAGTGAAACAATTCCGAAAACTAGAGCCGAGGTTCTACAATGGAATCTGGCTTGGCAAGGATGCAACCACAGGTGAATCCCTCCTTGGGATCTACAACAGGATTGTCAGAGCAAGGGCGTTCAGAAGGCAGAGAATGCCTTAGAAATGGACTGTTTGAACACAGGTTCCTGGAAGACACCAGCATCAGCATTGCCGACGCCGATTCTCACAACACCGCCAGCGATGCCATCTACACAACAAGAGTGCGTCGCAGGCAAGTGAGCGACGAACAAAGCAGATAAGGACAGGTGAGCCGACGTCACCAATGGCTACATCACCAACACATCAGAAGCGACCGACATTGCCAGCGCCACCGCCTACAACCCACACACAAGAAAGAGATGACACAATAGCAGAAGGCAGTACAGGCAAGCAACAGCGCACTCGCTACAGAAAGACAATCGCTTGAACGGCCAACAGCAACAGAACAACCAAAGAGCAAGATGAGAAGCAATGCCATCAAGTTCACTACAAGAGATGGCAGACAACTCGAGACAACATCAAATGAGGACACACAGGAAATCGAAAATGAGCGGATCCTACTAGAACCGAGCCTATTTGACACAGAAGACTTGGACCCACAATTGGTGTGACAAGGAATGAAGAAAGAGGTGCAACAAATTAAAGACCAATCAGTCTTTACAGAGATTGATGGCAACACCGTGACACCAGAACAACGGTCAAACATCATGGAATCAAGATGGGCCCTCAAACAAAAGAACAACGAAGTACGAGCACGAAGAACCCGTCACAGACCACGCCCTACTCTTTGCAAAGACGAAACTGTTTTGTATACTGAGAGCTCTTCTCACAATGGCATTGGTGTACAACTGGTCAGTCTGTACAGGAGATGTGAGTGCTGCATGTCTATATGCAGCAGCAATCTCATACAATTTGGTAATGAGACCGCCACACAAGTTCTACAACGAAGAAAACAGACACAAAATGTGGCGATTGACAAGGCCATCTACGGTTCAAGATCATTGCCAAAACAATGGCAAGACCACATTGCACACGTCCTTACAGTCACACTTGAACTTGTGAGATGCGCAACAGAAGGCAATGTTTACAGGTCAAAAGACTGCGTAGTCTACATCATGATATATGTAGACGACCTCCTATTCATAGGAGTACAAAACATGATCAACACACTATTCAGCTACTCTTGAGGCACACAGGTGACCTCAATGTGGGATCAACAATACATTTCCTTGGCAGGAACATCTCACAGAACGCCACATCGACATCAGCTTGAACAACAACTATGTCGACGGAATGACTACATGCAACCCAGCACCATCACCAAGAGTGTCACACATGAAAAGTACAGTAGAAGATGAAGCGCTACTTGATCACGAGCAACACAAGCAATACAGGCGGCTTGTTGGCAAGATACAATGGCTAGCATACACACATCAGCTTTGGAGCAAAGGAACTAGCAAGATCACTGCAATCACCAACACAGTTTGACAACAAGAGGCTCAAGCGCATGATCAGGATTTGTGGTATACTTCTTTGGAGCAGCGATGCACTATGGCAGCAGAACACAATCAACAGTAGCACTTTCATCAGCAAAATAAGAGCTGTACGCAATTGGCGCAGCAGCGCAGGAGAGCCTTTACATCAGCAACTTCACCAAAGAAGCGTTTGAAGTACGCACCAGCATAAGGATACACACAGACAGCAGCGCAGCAAAATCAATGGCAATGAGAGAAGGCACATCAAAGAAAGCAAAGGGCATCGAGCTGCGACATCTCTTCATACAGCAACTTGTCAACAGCAAGATCATCACGCTGCGCAAAGTAAGATCAGAGGACAGCCCAGCAGACTTACTAACAAAGTTTGTCAGCTGCAACGTTCGCCTGTGAGGCCACAGCACAACCAGTCTCACACAGTGTGCGCAGTATGTTAAACAACAGTTGCGCAGTAACACGTGTGTCTTTCGCAACTAAACGGCCGGCGCGTATGTTTTTGCTTTAGGTTAGGTACAGCCATGCACCTACCCTGGAGTCAATACAAACTTTTGGGTTGGATTCCTACCTCTTTTACATCTTTTGGGATGCTCTTTTTGCACGACAGTCTGTGCCTGTTTCTGATAATGTTTTGATACATGCTGCAGCCATTTACATTTGCCGTGTACAGTGCGTCTCTAGGCTTTCAGCCTTACATTGATGGCTCACAGGGGGCTTGCAAGACCCTGCGCATGCCGATGACAGTGCCCGAACATCCCGGTTATGCCGGATGAGCCTTACAATTCCACAGCGGGGATGATTCCGCTTACAGTGGAGCAATACACGTTCATGACAACCGCTGTCACAACTCAGCCGGACGAGGTGCAGAAGATCCCTGGCTACATGAGGTTCCCCACATTGGGTTTCATTGGGGTGTTATACTGTTTCATGGATTGCCTTGGATTTGATACATGAGGGTCTGGCAGTACAGCTGACATGAGCACATTCTTTGTGTACAAGATCAGCCTACAGACGGATGAACTGTTTCAGAAGGTTTACGAGAAAAGGGTTACATGGTTCAACAGAGGTTCATTGGACAAGTCCTGCAGTTACATCAGGATTGTACATGGACTTTGTCACACATTGAAAAAGCATCGGGTTCGCTTTACAAGGTGAAAGGTCACATCACAAACCTTTACAAGAATTACAATCTGACAAAGGGTTACATGGTTTTCCATCACATCATTATTTTAATTCAGAAGGTTTTGGGCACACATGCTGGACCTTCGATGGCTCTGAGCTCACCTACCCTGCAGCACAGGCTATCAGCGAGCCATTGAAGACACGAGTCATTGAGTACATCGTGGCATACAGTTGAGTGGCAACAACATGGCTTTGATTCCTGGACAGATTGGATAGAGTGATCAGCGACTGCAAGAAGTGGACAGTACAGTGATCCTCTCGCAGCAGCAAGGATACAAGTTGTTGAACAAGAACAAGATCATGGGCGAAGGCATTTGAGGAGTACATCATGTACTTGGTTACAGAGGCGCGCCGGACACTTGGGAAGGTGCAGTTACAGTATTTTGATGGTACAGCAGCCGATGCCCTCGTTGTACAGTCAGATACTGACATGAGATCAGTCGCTGGCTTACATCACCCTGAAACATCAAGCTAGCAGTGCATTCGGAATGCGCAATTAAGATTGTACAGCCCGAGAGGGGTGTTAAGTACAAGCCACTGTTCAAATACATGCGCATCCCTCTCCGCCGCTTGGTACAAGGCCTTGAGCCTACAGTACATTGCCCCAGATAGAAAAGACTACAACTGTGCCGAGTCGTTCGCATCACAGGTTTACACATTCAGGTAGTTAGGAGTCAGTTCTACTTCAACAATCTATAGCAATCTGTAGCACTGTATCGCAATGTATCGCAGTCTTTAGCTTCTTGCACCTTTGTTTTGCTTCGCAATTCCAGGGCAAGGCGCGAAGAGCCCCGGGAGGAGGCGAGCGTTTTGCGCCCCATCGGGCGCTTCCGTGCTGGGCTTGAGGCTCGGCGGCCCAGAGGAGATGGAGCAGATTTGCTACGCAGGCGATTCAAACGACTCCCGCTGAAGATGCGAGACTGTCTGAAAGTCGTGAGACTGCCAGGGTGCTGCGGGCAAATGGAATCCAGGCCAATGCCAGTGATTACCTGAAGACATTGCAAGCTCAAGTGCAGGCTGGCGGTCGAGCAAAGGCAGGCTTCGGCAATTTGAGTTTCAGGGCCCGACGCGCAGAGTGCAGGACGAGCCTCGGGCCACGTTGGTGCCTTCCCGGAAGGCGGGAGCGACGGCGAGCGACGGCGAGCGACGGCGAGCGACGGCGAGCGACTTCGAACATCTCGACTCGCCGGGCCGGACCCGCCAGACCCGCCAGACCCGCCTGCCCTTAGTGAGGAATGAGGAATGCAGGTGCCCTCCAAGCCAGCCCTTGCCGCGAGATCGGCCAAACACACTGTTTACACACTCAGCGGTTTCTGCTGGGTCCGGGCGACCACCCCTCCAAACCTTCCAAAAGCAGCCTCCCCTCCAAAACACGCGCGAAGCAGACAGAGACAGAGAGACCACACAGTCCACTTCTTTATCACTTGTCACGTCCCTGGTTGCTTTCGCAGCTCAACTGAGTGGGGCGAAGCCCCTTCCCATTCACGAGGCTTTCCCTTCGCACCAAACCGGAGCGCCCTTCTTGCGCACCTGCCCTTTTCAATTGGACTGGCGTTTGGAGCCTTTGTGTTTCTCAGGAGGACTCATCTGGTGAGAGCGCGGACCTGAGGCACTCCTCCGAGCTCCGTACGCAAATAGGTCAAAGCTTCCCATTGCTGAAGATTTGTCTTATTCTTGGCATATTCCGAATTGATACTGGGCGATTTCGTCATATTTTGGCAACGCGCGCGTGGCTCAGTGGCTCAGGTCCTCCGCGGGGTGTGGCAACCTTGAGGCGAGCGCGCGTGTCGTCGGACCCGCCAGACGGGGGGTTCCCCGGAAAACGTGTGGGAAGGGGGGGATGATACCTTTACAGCAGCATGAATTTTCTCCACGGCCGAAATGCGCAAGATACCTTTGCCGGTATATCGTCGGACGTTCCATATACCGAGGTCAAAAGGGTGCAAAGGTCGGTTTTGAGAAGGTTCACCAGAAGAAAAAGAAGGAGAGAAAAAACACGGGGTATACGGGGTACTCCGAATCTCTGCGAGCCAGGGCATGCCAAGAGGTCAAAGGTCGGTTTTAAGCATTCAGAGCGTCTATAGGTAAAGAGTTCAGTTCTGACGCTATTGTCCCCTCCCCCCCCCACCTGGGTTGCGCAGGCTTGACTTCCCCCTCGACTTGTTTCAACCAGCCTTTGTGGAAGTGCTGAGCCACTGTTGCTGTGTCGCGATGAAAAGGCTGACTCTCCAACAGGTCGTGTTTTGACAAGTGCTGAACCATTGGCACTGCCACTGAATTCTGCTGTTGACGCATTTTGCACAGACACTTCCACACTTGCTACTTTTTGCAGACCTGACGTGGCACGGCAAAGTGATCATACACCCAATTCCAGGCAGTTTTGCATTTTTAGCGTTGGCGATCCCCGTCGGAACCACAAGAAGCCTATGCTTAAGGAACGGACAACTTCAACATTTGTCCGATAATCCGAACTATGTTGACCTTTTTGCATGTGCTTAAGCTTGCCAGAAATAGTGGCTGTTTTAAGAGTGATGCAGTGATGCTGCAAGAACCCCGGCGTCGGGGAACCTCCCGTCAGATTTCGCGAGTCGAAGCCCTAGGCCTCCTCAGGACCGCAAGGCGACGCCCGAGTCGCGTCGCTACCGGTGGCATCGGTGGCATCGGTGGCATCGGTGGCATCTTGTCTTTCTTTTTTTCATTTTCTTGTCTTTGTGTAGGCGCTGGACGGCCGAAAGTCGCGGAGGGTCTGAGTGCCAGAAATCCAAAAAGCTTTAGAGACCGTCGGATAGTCTTGTCCTAGCGCCTGCTCCATGGAGCGGTTTCGCTTGCTCAGCGCGAGCTTGGTGCGGACGGGAAAAGACGCGTAGCCAACGCCACGCCAGAGCCCAATTGGTGAGAATCCGTGACAGACATGCTTCACAATGCCTATGCTTTCTGTCCAGGCTCGAACCATCAACATGAATAGAGAGAGAGAGAGAGAGAAGCAACACAAACAAGAAAACATTCTAGCAGGAGACGCCTAGAGTTGATGCCCACAAATTCGTGCCATTGCATGCCAACCCTAGATGAATACGTTCACGCCTCGGACCAAATCCATGTCCAGGCCGGCCAGTGCTTTGCCGGCTTTTGTCGGAGTCACTTAAAACTCACGGCTGTAGGTGAGAATTGCGCTATGGCACCTGCCTCAGCCCTCCATCTCCATGAGATCTCCATGGTCGGTGCCGAGTTTGAGGACTTGGGAAGCAAAGCCATTTCCCTGACACAGGCGCCTTTCGGTGCCTCTTCCGATGCCTCTCTCTTTGGCCAGCTAAAGGCCTGCCTTTCGCAGGCTCAAGTTGAGGAGTTTCAAGAAGCCTTCGGTTTGTTCGACAAGGAGCGGAGAGATGCGGAGAGCGCGAGAGGTTGCCGAAGGTCTGTGTGTGTTTGACAAGTTCCAAAGGATGGCGACGGGCGCATCAGTGTGGATGAGCTGGGAGTGGTGCTGAAAGCCCTAGGCAGAAAGCCGCAGGATCCCCGGAGTCGGTTCAGACCCACGCATAGGGCCGGAGAGAGAGAAAGAGAGAAAGAGAGAGGGAGAGAGGGAGAGAGGGAGAGAGGGACAGGGTCGGTTTGAGACTCCGTTCCACTTCCGTGCCGAGGACGCAGGAAGAGCTGAAGGCCATGGTGGGGGAAGCCGACGAGGACGGCAGCGGGGAGATCGAGTTCCCGGAGTTCCTGAAGCTGATGGCCGCCAAGCTGCACGACATGGACTCCGTGGAGGAGAAGTTTTCCTTTGGACTTTTCACTGCGCGCGGTCGGCTGTGACTCACTTGGCCTGACTCTGCTGTTGCTTTGCGGTTGCGGGGCAAGCCGGGTGGGAACAGCTAAGAGGTGGCTTGGGGATGGGGTTTAGGACGCAGTACGTGTCCCGCTTGATGTTTACTTGCAGCACTCAGCGTGCATCATGTAGCCATGAGAAGGGGATAGGGGTGGACAGGGGTAACGGACGGCTAATCCTGCAACACGGCATCACCACCCACGCCTAGGCTTGCGCAGCTTTTTTGTACAGGGTTGCACGATTTCTATGAGCAAACCAACGGTTCGAAAAGCTTCCTTTGTAACATGTGGAGCAAAACAGAATCTGACCGTGCCGTAGGATACAGCTAACTGTTAACAAGGTCTGGGTGCAGCAAATCAAAGGATACAGCGAATCTGACTTTTTGACATGCAGCTTTGGCGCGGTTGCTCCTCAATTCATAATCCCAACTGCTTTGGGCACTAGACGAACCGATGTGAACAGCTCGCGAATCATTCTGAACAAGGGGCCTGAGGCCAAGTGGTTCTGCAACGACTACACATTGAGCCCATGATGTTGCTGGTCGTTCCTTTCACAGTATCGTCTCTCAGCCGTCAAGAGGTGAAACGGATCACACTTCGTAACTGGAATGCCAACAGACCAGCCTTCTTCAGCTCTGCCCAAGCATATGGAGCAAGCCCCAGATTTCCCTCGCAGCTCCCATCCTGTCGGCAGGCGGCCAGGAAAACGCAATGCTGATTCCACTCTTTTTTCGCACAGCCTCCAATTTGACTGGAGTTTTGAGGAGATGCAGGAGGCGTTCTCTGTGTTTGACCGCGACAAGAGCGGCTCGGCCAGACTGTGCCCGTTTGTTATGACGATTCACTATTTATTATTTATCTCCACTTTGCGCGCAGGCGGTCGGGTGACTCCGAGCGAGCTGAAGCACGTCATGAACAGCTTGGGCGAGAAGGTTGGATCCGGCTGGCTGTGCCGGAGTCGGGAGTGCCGGAGTGACTGCAACGTGAAGGTGACGAACGAAGAGGTGGAGGAGATGATCAAGGAGGCTGAGAGACTTATGAGTCGTACGAGTCGTACGAGTCGCACGAGTCGCACGAGTCTTGCGACTCGTGCCTAGCACTCCAGGCGGACATCGATGGGGATGGAGAACTCAGCTTCCAGGACTTCCTGCAGCCGCGTATCCCAGAGAGAAAGACTCGTCGCATGGCCTCTTCGGCTCTTCGCCTCTTCGGCTCTTCGCCTCTTCGGCTCTTCAACTTCGAGCGGACGCATGGAGCTGTCCGTGTGGTGCTTGCTCTCAGGTTCGTGCAGTTGAAAGGCCTCAATGCTAGGCGGGCATTCCTTGAAGTTGATCACGGCTGCTGTTGCTGGGTGCTTGCAGATAGCCCTGGAGCTGATGCTTGTTTCACCGAGAGTGTAGAGCTTTGGCGAGAAGCGTGACATGAATCAGATGCGAAGCACATTGCTTGTCGATTGTCAAAACACCGCACCAAGTGTCCGAGCTACGCGGAGGCTCACTGCTTGAGAGTCTCAGAGTGCACGAATCATAGAGTGGCGGTGGCGACCACACAGGCCACACAGGGACAGGATCATAATCAGAGCAAATCTGAGAGCAACGGCATGTACCTTGCCGAACCTTTTGCAAGTTTCCCTGCGATTGCCGAGATGACATGGCTCCCTCGGCCAGACCCTGGCAGACCCAAGGCATTCGTTCTTGCGCTGAATGAGGTTGATGAGAGAGTCAAGGTGGCCAGAGCAAGGCGGAGGCGAGGGGGCTTAGATGGTTCACAGCAAATATCTTGAGACAGGGATGCGAAGACCCAGTCTTACACATGGTGGATAGCGGGAACTGCACGCTCCTCAGGCACAGCAAGATCTAAAGCTCATGTCACAATGTGATGCGGTGAGGCTACCACGGTTCTGTTTGCCTGTGTGTCAGCCTTGGGCACCCGTCCTGCCCTTTTCGGCGTTTCGCTACATGCTTTTGATGTGAGGCTGCGGTCATTGTGAGCCCTGACGGAGGACCTTTCGAGACGCCTGCGCTGTGCTCACGGCAAGCCGATTTTGGAGAGATGCCATCGCTCCAGGTCAACGACGCGAGCTTCATCGCCCACCTCCAGCACAACGCGAGCAAAACTTCAAAACGCTTTCAGCATCTTTCAGCCACAGTATGCCAGGCGCGCTGGCAAGCAGGGGAGGTCCCATTCTTCAAGGCCGTCAACAGATGTCAACGGGTCAATTCCGAAGGCGAATGCGGCATGGCCCCCATGGCCCCCATGGCCCCAGGGCTGGACCATCGGGGACGTGCAGAGACTCAGCGGGATCAGAGTCTCCAATCAAGGAGAGAAAGAGTCAAAGAACATCAAAGAACCAGAGCAGTTGCAAGTGCGCCTAGCGCAGGCGGCATCCCAGAGTGCTCTCTGCCAGAGGTGGATGTGCCTGAAAGTTTCGATGCCCGACAGAGGCAAGTCACTCAAGTCGGAGACTGAAATCAATCAACTGTGATTTCAGGTGGCCCCGATGCTTTCCACCCGTCTTCGAGATGGGGAACTGCTTTGGTCTGAGCGTGTGAGCCCGTGCGCGTGTGAATTCCATTGGTGCCCTCTCGAGGTTCGGCCAGCTGGGCCCTTGCTGCCCGGATCAAAGCGGGCGCAGCGCTCCAAGCGGATCGTTTGGCTATGAGGCCGCGGCTTCGGTGAGCCACAGGCAGGGGCGACATTCGATCCGCGCGCGCCTCACGCGCCTATGCGCCCTCGACTTTTCTCGGGCGAGGCTTTGCATCAGCAACCGGCCGCCTGTGCCACAGCGGGAGAGGAGCAGACACCAGCCATTTTTCCCGTGTCCTTTTTGGAGCTGAGGAGTCGCTTGTCCGCGCAGCAGCTGCTCTCGTCCTGTTCTCATGGCTTGAAAAAGCTTGCCCTTTTTCCGGCCGTGCATGAGCCAGACCAAGGTGCGAGCGAGAGTTCGGGCAAGGCTGCGACGGCGGCTCTCTGGACACCGCCGGGAGTTGAGTCTTTCATAGGGTTGAAAGTTTTGATAGACTGTGAGTGACTGAGGTCTGGAAGTACATGAAGCAGTCCGGGCTGGTGACTGAGCACTGCTTCCCCTACCAGGCAGCTCGCTTCTTAGCTTCAGCAAATTTCAGCCACCGGCATAGTCGGCATAGTCACAAGGCAGATGATGTGCCTTGCGCCACGTGTGGCACGGAGGAGTTTGGTCGTTTCCACAGTTGGATGGCGTTGGTGCCGGTGCCCTGAGGAGCCCAACCGGGTGGCCTCCGTTTGCAAGGTGAGCACTGCGGGGAGCATTCGACGGGAGGCCATGCGATCGAGCAAGCGAGCGCGCGAGTCAGCGCGCGGCAGATCTTTCTCAACGGGCCGGTCCTGGCACCGGTGATGCTCATGAACGACTTCCTGCTGTACAGGCCGGGGGTTGACGCTTGGGCTCACTTTGGAATTTCCGCCCTGCAGCGCCAAAGATCAAAACGTGGAAGACACAAGTGAGGACAAGCTGCAAGTACATCAAGTGCATGAAGTAGGCAGTACCATTCTCCTCTCCACATAGCGCGAGATGGCCATGTGGACCTCAGGGCTCGGCTCAGAATTTGGAAAGCAAGGTGCATGTGGGATTCAGGACCGCGACGCTTTTACAGGGACCGGAAATGTTGCCATGCGCGTTGCCAAGCTTCCAAAGCCGAAGTAACAATTCGTACTGGGGAATAGAAACTGAATTCATGGGAATCGGAATAGATTCAAGTAGAATTGATATGAATTCGTCCTGAACTCCTTGAGTTGAATGCGTGTGATTTTCACATTCATCTGATAGCTCAGTCGCAGTCGCATGGCATCGTCAGTGCCGTTTGGCTCAGCATCCGCGCTTCTTGGCCTGAAGCCATGTGCGAGCCTCAGAGAGATGAAAGACGAGCGAGAAGAAAAGACGAGCAAGTTACACCAGCTTTGACAGCATAGACAGTCTAGACCCCAGATAGCATGGGAGATTTCACCAGCACGAGCAGCGACAGCAATCAAGCCACCAGCGCCCTGACCAACAAGATGACGAACACCCTGACCAACACCCTGACCAACACCCTGACAAACACAGCAGCGCCGAACAAGCAACGCCAATCACCATCAGCATTCTGGCCAGCGCCCAAGACCCCCCTAGCTAAAACTGGATTTTGGAGAGAATACCCCTGAAAGCAAGTGTGTGCTTCCACACGTGCCATGCCACCCGGCAGAGTGGCCAAAATAATTCTCTCAACGGAGTGCTCCGGCAATTAGCTTGCCAAAGCCTGCACAGACAATATGGCACTGCCGCCTCTCAAGGCTGATGTTCTGGTGGGTTTGCGTAACCTGCTGGCAGAGCGGCCAATAGAATGCTTGCAACAGAGGGCTCCGGCAATAAAGTCTGCGTGGGTATTACTGCAGCAGTGGCGCTCGCTGCCGGAGGTTTCGTGGGTTTGCCCAAAGCGCCGCTCCTCAAAGCCGATGTTCTGGTGGATTTGCGTAACCTGCTGGCAGAGCGGCCAAAAGGATGCTTGCAACAGAGGGCTCTGGCAATCAAGTCTGCGTGGGTATTGCTGCAGCATTGGCGCTCGCTGCCGGAGGTTTGGCGGGTTTGCCCAACGCGCTACCTCGCAGATGGCTTCGCCCACGCGAAATGATTGCTCTCAGCCTCCAGCAGCGCCCTGCAGCAGCGCCCGTCTCGGCCTGCAGCGCTCTGCTTCTGAGCCCTTCGCCAGCACTCTGCAACTCCGAGTCTCGGGCTGCTGCAGCTTCGGAACTTAGCAGAACCCTGCTGCAGCACCCTGCGCAATTCTAAGTCTCAGCCTGCCCTGCAACAGGCCTCTGAGTCTTGGCCTGCACCAGCTCCCTGCAACAGACCCCTGTGCAGCTCCCTGTCTCGGCCTGCAGCAGCACTCTGCGCAACGGTCCCTTCTTTACTTCAAGTTAGAACCCCTATAGCTTTCAGCTATCAGCTGTTTGGGGAAGAACAGAAATAATATAACTTCCCCGGCAAGTCAGCCCAAAGGTGGTCCAAAAGTGAGACATCGGGCAAGGAATTTACAGAAACGTTAGTTGAATTTCTTTCAGACAAATCTTGCACGAAACCTCTTTCCAAAGGAGATCTTCTACGGAGCTTCAGAAGGCTTCTGTTTGAAGAGCGCGCGCAAGACTTTCTACGCGGGCCCTGCGCGCATCTGCTGCGGCTGCTTTCATGATACCTGTGTGGGTCAAAGATCTGTGTGGAAGGATAGGGTCTCTTGACAGACTCAACATGAAACCTTGCGCAAGGTCTGTTGAGTGGATCCCTACACAGGACCAGCGAATGTCTGCTGGGTTGGAGGAGTTTTGCGCAAGATCTCTGGGTGGGATCTCTTTGTAGGGTGCGATCTACAAGCGTTCTGTTCAAGATTTGCAGGGAGCCACAAGATCCCTTGCGGGAACCCTGCCGGGTCCACCGCGGGGCCTCATTTACAGGATCTCTGCGCAAGATGGATGGGTACTTTTTCTTGGTCGGATTTCTTGGCCGAGATCCCCAGCAGAGCCTCTTGACGAGTAGGGAGCACTCTCAAAGACAAGACCTCTTGATTGGAAATCTTTTAGGGTCCTGCGCGCTCTTCACAGGGCCACGCGAGATCTCTTGAAGGGTCTCTTGGCAAGATCTGCGTGCATGACCTCCGGACAAGGATTTTTGGCAAGATTTGTACACAAAGTCCTTGAGAAGGTCCGCGAGACCTCTCTACGAAGGACCAGCGCGCAACGTGTGTGGGAGGATCTTGCAGGATCTCTGCAATGTCTGGGTAGGGCGCAGGACCCATGAAGTATCCTTGCATGTCCTGTTCTTCGTTTGTATGAACCCTCTGCGGACTTCGGTCGGGTCGGATCGCTCTCGTTGCGCGGCGTGAAGTTTGAGCGCCGAAAGTGAACCAACCCTTTGCGGGCTTTGATCAGCTCGGATGGTTCTCGATGTGGCGCGGTGCGACTTTTGAACAATGCCAGCGAACCCTCCGCACGGATGGGCGTAAAAAAGAGCAGCGAATCTCGCCAACCTGTGCAGTCGGAACGCGACTCAAGATTTTACCAGATCATGATTGCAGTGCACGTAAACACCACGAAAAGCGGCCCGCCCCAGAGCGAGCACCCGCCCTTTATGCTTACCGTAAGAACCCTTTAGTGCAGACACACTGGTTGGGGAAGAGCTTGGAAAAGGTCTTCTATACAGATTCCCATCGACGGCCTTTCTGATGCTTTTTCATCCGTTCCCGAAATCGCGGACCAAGGAGCGGAGCTCGTCGCTGCGCCCTGGCGGGGGCCTCACATCGAGTCGCAAGTTGCAGCGTGTAGCCTGAGTCGGGCCAGGTGGCTGCCCTGGCAGCCGTGTGGTGCAACTCCCAGTGACAAGAAACGAAAGACAGGGTTCTCAGAATGCCCGCATGCGCAGCGCTCAGGCTCTTTCTGGTGCCGGCAGAGGATTTCATGCTCACTTGCCATGACAACAGTGGAGTGCAATCCTCAGGCCTAAGGGGCAAAGGAAGGGACCTTCATGCCCGAGGCCTACAAGTTCAAAGTCATGGGCGTGTGTGGGAAAGGCGCAAGTCCCCACATCCGCGCCATTGAGCCTGGAGATGTGGTCGGGAAGCCCAAGCCGACTTGGCTCGGTGGTGGCTCGGTCTCTCCTTTGCGTATGTCAGGTGGTTGTGGTCGGCCGCACTGGGGGTCCCAAGAACAAGGTGCTGCGTGCCATCGTGACGCGCTTGCGCAGGGCCTCTTGGCAATGCAAGTCGGGGATAGCATTTGGAAACGGCAAAAGATGAGCCGGGCCGGGTGGACAGCCCCTTGAGCTGTGAGCAAGACGTAGGCGGGTGCTATGCGAGTCGGGTGCGGACGTCAACCAAGGGCTCGCCTGATCCGATGGGCAATGGCATGAGGAACGCCTTTGACACGAACTGTGGTGTGCTAGTCGGGCGCAGAATTGGTGACGCTTTCAGTCCGAACCTTTTGGACTCTGAGGTGGACAAGGAGGGCAACCCAGTGGGTCCCAAGCTTTGACAAAAGCCGCACACTCTGATGCCGAGTTGCCAAGGCCGCAAAATCAACGGCAAGATCGACCCGAGGCTTGGGAGTGAAACCTTGAAGTAAAGTCGTCTCGGCCGCACCTGCCGCAGGTGCGCCCTTCGTTGGCCCAAACTGGCGCAGCTGGTGCTTTGGCTCGATAAGAGATGGGCCATCGGGGGCTTGTGCGTGCGACATCCGAGGCTGCACGCTGAGCCTGCGGTAGCCATCGGATTGCTCTTTGTCTCGACGAAGATAGATGCAACATTTACACATTTACATCTCGTGCTGTGTCTGAGTTTGTTGTTGCATACCCGCTTGGCAGTGCTTGCAGTGTGACGGACTCGCCATTCTCGGCTGTACGGCCAAAAGAGGTCCTAGCATTCCTTGGAGCACATTGCAACTGGCATGGATCAGGGCAGAAGTTCAGACTAAGTTCACTGTTTGTGCTGCCACTTTGGCTTAGTGTTCGGATTCCCGAGCTGGAGCTGTGCGACGGCCTCGGAAGCCAAAGGCGCAGAAGGGCTCCATGACGTTCAGCGGATCCGGCTCAGCCTCTCATGTGCGAAGATGGCTAGCAGCGAGACCCATGCGCATGCGGGCTCGGCCAAGGCCTAGATGCCTTCAAAGCCTTTGCCTCTCTGGAAGGCTCAAGCTCCAACTGCTTCCCCTTCCAGTGCTCCACAAGCTCAATAAAAGCTCAAAAGCCCTGTCGTCACTGAGTTCGTGGATATCGTGGTTCGCCGGAGCAGCCAGATCTAATCTATCGCTCTCTGGGTTTGCCAAAGTGATGCTTTGTTAATTTCGTTCGAGCTGTTGGACAAGTCGTGTTCAGCCCATGCAAGGGTTTTCTGTGAGGCGCAGTAGGCGTGTCTTGACTTCGGCTTGTGCAGGAGATGTCAGTCCTTGGAGCTCCCCAAGTGAGCGGTGCAAAATTGGGCAAATCTAGATCCTTCAATACATTTGCATTGAGAATTCGCGATGAGACTCGCCCGATGTGTGTGTTCTTGTGCGCGTCAAGTTTCCGCTAGCCACCTTTTGCTAGCAACAGGCAAGCCCGAGCGACGTGAAAGCGCGCGAATGGGCGATTCTGCTCGATGCCAATGGAATAATTGAAATTCCCGGTGAGGGGTGGTATCTACCAAGAGACGCGCACCGCCTCACAGCTGGTGGCCTGGGCCTCGCGTTGGGATTTCAGAGTTTGAAGAGAAGTCGGCATGTCCCCATCTCTACGAAAACTTGTCGACCGTCTGGCTTGCGAAGATTCCTCACACGTTGCGCCAGTTTTGGGTAGCGAGGCTTCGTGATTCTCCGTGTTCCCAAAGGGCTTTGACTTGCGCACCTGACTCCACTAGCCCCGCAAGACTGTTGCCCGTGCAAAAGGCGGAAACAAGCGACCAGGACTCCGCTGGCTTGCATTGCCACTTCAATCTCACGGCGAGACATTGCTACCTAAGACTCCTGACCGGCAGCGCCAGCTTCATGCTGTGACTCTGCTGGGTTTGAAGCTAAGCTCAAGGCAGTGAGACAGGGAGTCTCTCACTGCCAAGGCTGGGGCATCGATGGCGAACAGGAATACTGGATCATCGAGAACTCCTTTGGCCAGGCAGGATTCAGCCGTATTCTGCCGTCGCCATGCCGCCTGTCTTAGGGCTGGGGTGAGGATGGCTATGCGAAGGCCCGCCTCTTTAGGTCCTTGGCCTTCGGTCTTCCACTCTCTCAGGTCAAGAGGGATGGGGTGCTGCTGGAGGAGCCGGGCGCACGGCCGCCGAACGGCCGCCGAACGGCCGCCGAACGGCCGCCGAACGGCCGCCGAACGGCCGCCGAACGGCCGCCGAACGGCCGCCGAACGGCCGCCGAATTGCCGACTGGCGAGTATTCGGTGCTCCGCTCTATGCCGAGGTTTGTCTTCGCTGGCACGCCGGCCAACCCGAAGGCACGCACGGCGAAAGCCATGCTGGGAAATGTCGAGGTGTTTTGAGTTTGTGTCCAAGGTGCTGAACTTTGGAGGCGCCTCAGATGGACCTTTTGCCCCTGCGCATTTTGCACTTCTTAGGCAGGTGAATGCAAGCCGCACGATCGCTGACGTGGCCAGACCAAGGAAAAATGGTGTTGTGCAAGCACCCATTTTTCATGGAATAGACGCCAAGCTCATGAGCACAAATTCGGCATCGATTGACTTTGCGCTGCTCTTGGCTCAGCCTCTTGAATGAAATGACAGTTTGAGGGCGTAGGGACCCCAGCCTGTGTGCGGTGTCTGGGTGTTTCATCTCGATGTGAGGTCTTGCTCCGGGGGGAGACCCTCTCCATGAGTCAGGACAGCCCCGTGCCTCGTGCCTTACGTGCCTTACATGCCTTACATGCCTTACACGCCCTACGTGCCCTACGTGCCCTGCGTGCCCTACGTGCCTTGCGTTCAGGCAAGAGGTCGTGGTGGCACTGCGGCGAAGCCAGAGTACGTCAAGGAGTGTGCCAAAGCTTGCACCGCAAGAAGTGGAACAGCGGGTCTTTTTGTGTTTCGTTGCAAGGAGTCGCAGAATGGCGACGCTCCGCTGCCCAGGCACAAAGCAAACATCTCCTTGGCTTGCACAGTTTTGCACACGCAGCTTGCATCATGTTTGGCAGGTTTGGGCACACCACGACCTTTGTGGGAGACAACCGGGTGGTGCTGTTCGGTGGTGCAACGGGCGACTCAGGTGGTGAGGCACGGACTCTTCACTGCTTCATCCCTGCTGGCTTGGAGGTCGGTACACCATCACGGCGGATGCATTCATGCTGAACGCCTGCGCCCTTTGATCCTTTGATCCTTTCCTGGAGAGATCACGGTTTTTGCTGTGCCTGAGGTCTCTAGCAACACGTGGTCACGCGTGCAAGCGGAAGGCTCCAGCCATCATTTCATTGTCTTATTGTCGATTGCCCTTCTTTCTCTGACAACTTTTTGCGATTGCTTTTTGCGACCTTCGCTTGCTCGGAAGGAACGCTGCCCTTTGCGCGTGCCGCGCATGCAGCGGCCTGCGTGGACCATTCCCAGATGGCGCGGGGTTGTTAAGCTTGCTGTCTGAGTCAACAGAAGTCAAGTCAAGTGGCTTGTTGCCACTTGCCTTGCTACCTTGCCAACGGAAGGTGATCTATGGTGGTGCCACTGGAGGGGGCAGCTTGTCGCCCCTCGACCGAATCGAACCCCTTCGCACTGGCAGTTTGAAGGGACGGCTGACGAGTCTGCGGGACAGCTCACTTTGAGGTCTGACGAGCTCTACTTGCTGGACATCCGCAACGAGGACGGATATCAGACCGTACGAGTCGATGAGGCGTTTCACAGTGATCACAGGAGCGCTCGCAGTGGATGTCAGTTCCTGTGATGGGATCAACTCCCGGAAGAAGATATGGTGCCCGGCGATTGATCTTGCTTTGCACGATGCGGGTTTGTGCTTTGCACAACGCAGATATGGTCAACAGGTCACACCATGATCTTCAACAAGCCTTTGCTGATCGTTTTTGGTGGCAACAACGGCCAGCAGGCATGTATGACGAATCACGTTCGGGCAGACAAAGCAAACACATGGCTGCAGGCAGAAAGCGACATTTGGGTTCTAGATGTGGAGCGCTCGCCCTTCCAGTGGCAAGAGGCTTCCGCACATGATGGGATTCGGCGCATTGTGAAGGGATTCAACTTGGAGAACGAAGTCGATTTCCAACAGGAATTTGGACAACATGTCACGAATGAGATAAGGTGCAAGTCATGGGGAAGCGTGTGCCGCTACCCCGCGTCTACCACTCGGCCGAGGCAGGAGTCCACTTCGCGACATGCCGTCCCCCAATACAGCCTTTCTACTTTTGTTTGCTGTGCATATATATATAAGATATATATATATATATATATTATGTTAATGTACATCCATCCTTGTACATGACCCTGGCCTTTGTACATCAAGGCCTTGAGCCTATCTACATGATAGAGCCTACAGCCCTCGCCCGCAGTGACAACAAGTGCCGCGCTGACACATCACAGGTTTGACACATTTAGGTCATCAGGTGTTTACGCAGTTTGTTCCACTTTAACATGGTAGCGGAGCAGTGATCCCTGGTACACGATCCTCGACCACAACCCAGGGTGAGCTCCATCACACACCCACAGGTTCAGGTACACAGTAGTGAGCAACATGGCACAACAACAGCAGCGACAGGAACAACACCAGTTGGACGGAATCCACAGATACAAGATATCACCACCACGGTTCACAGGAGAATACAACACCTTCGAAGAAGGGAAGTACAAGATGACAGCATACTTGGGATTACAAGACCCAGCATAGAACAGACTGTTGAAACAGTCAGAGCAATCAACAGGACAAGTTACAAGCGACCAACTTGAGAATGCAGCACCTTCACAAGCAGTAGCAGAGCAATGGGTGCAACTGAGCAACAATCTACATTACCTCTTGGTGAGCACATGCGATGGACCAGCATCTACAATCTGCAGGCAAAGCATGCAAGGCGACGGATTTGAAACATGGCGGCTGATACATGCAAGATACTCCGTACCCCTTGGTGCACGAAGCATTGGGTACCTAACAAGGTTACTCAAACCGCAGCATGATGAACAGAAGTTCGGAGAGAGCTTCACAACATGGGAGTTTCAACTCTCCAGGTACGAACAAGACAACAGCACACTACTACCAGATGCAGTCAAGATTGCAATACTGCTCAATGAGACAAAAGGACCACTACAGCAACATCTACAACTTCGCCACGAACCGACATAACGCCGCGGCCATCAAGAGGCAAGCTAGCAAATCTTCAAAAAACACCGCAAATATTGTGCTTTTGGCTGTTCCACTCATCAATCGTTGCTTTTTGTCAACCCTCGATTTTTGAAAAATCGAGGGTTTGCGACAACCCTTTCAGCAAAAAACGGTAGTTTGCCGGAAAAAGGTGTTTTCAACAAAGCACTTGTGTTTTGCCACACTTTGTGACAAACACAAGGATTGCTCTTCCCCACCAAAAGGCGTTTCCGTGTCCCACCCACAGCGCGGCGCATCACATGTTTTCATCCGTCTTGCTCCTCGGCTGCTCATAGTATGTCCCAAGGTTTTCCTTAGTCAAAAATCTCAAAGGGGTTCACTCCCATCCTATGCACTTGAATACAGTGCTGAGCAAGCGCACTTGAACAGGTGTTCTTACCATTTGGCTGGCATGGATACGGTGCTCAGCGAGTGCACTTGAGCGGGTGTTCGTACCATTTGGCTGGCATGGATACAGTGCTGAGCGAGTGCACTTGAACGGGTGTTCTTACCATTTGGCTGGCATGGATACAGTGCTGAGCAAGTGCACTTGAACGGGTGTTCTTACTATTTGGTTGGCATGGATACAGTGCTGAGCGAGTGCGCTTGAACGGGTGTTCTTACCATTCGGCTGGCATGGATACAGTGCTGAGCGAGTGCACTTGCACGGGTGTTCCTACCATTTGGCTGGCATGGATACAGTGGTGAGTGAGTGCACTTGCACGGGTGTTCTGACCATTTGGCTGGCATGGATACAGTGCTGAGCGAGTGCGCTTGAACGGGTGTTCGTACCATTTGGTTGGCATGGATACAGTGCTGAGCGAGTGCACTTGAACGGGTGTTCTTGCCATTTGGCTGGCATGGATACAGTGCTGAGCGAGTGCACTTGCACGGGTGTTCTGACCATTTGGCTGGCAGGGAAACAGCGCTGAGCGAGTGCGCTTGAACGGGTGTTCTTACCATTTGGCTGGCATGGAAACAGTGCTGAGCGATTGCACTTGAACGGGTGTTCTGACCATTTGGCTGGCAGGGATACAGTGCTGAGCGAGTGCGCTTGAACGGGTGTTCTTACCATTTGGCTGGCATGGATACAGTGCTGAGCGAGTGCGCTTGAACGGGTGTTCTTACCATTTGGCTGGCATGGATACAGTGCTGAGCGAGTGCACTTGCACGGGTGTTCTGACCATTTGGCTGGCATGGATACAGTGCTGAGCGAGTGCACTTGACGGGTGTTCTGACCAGCATGGATTGCTGAGCGAGTGCACTTGAACGGGTGTTCTTACCATTTGGCTGGCATGGATACAGTGCTGAGCAGTGCACTTGAACAGGTGTTCTTTTGGCTGGCATGGATACAGTGCTGAGCGAGTGCACTTGCACGGGTGTTCTGACCATTTGGCTGGCATGGAACAGTGCTGAGCGAGTGCACTTGAACGGGTGTTCTTACCATTTGGCTGGCATGGATACAGTGCTGAGCGATTGCACTTGAACGGGTGTTCTAACCATTTGGCTGGCATGGATACAGTGCTGAGCGAGTGCGCTTGAACGGGTGTTCTTACCATTTGGCTGGCATGGATACAGTGCTGAGCGAGTGCACTTGCACGGGTGTTCTGACCATTTGGCTGGCATGGAAACAGCGCTGAGCGAGTGCACTTGCACGGGTGTTCTGACCATTTGGCTGGCATGGATACAGTGCTGAGCGAGTGCACTTGAACGGGTGTTCTTACCATTTGGCTGGCATGGATACAGTGCTGAGCGAGTGCGCTTGAACGGGTGTTCTTACCATTTGGCTGGCATGGATACAGTGCCGAGCGAGTGCAGTTCTTACCATTTCTGACCATTTGGCTGGCATGGACACAGAGCTGAGCGAGTGCACATGAACAGGTGTCCTTACCATTGGCTCGGGACAAGAAAATCACGGGTGGTCTTACCAAAGCACTGCTATTTGCGATGTTTCCGCGCTCGGGGCAAGAACGTGCTGGTATTTGCGGTGTTTTCAGCGCGTGCTGCACGGGAGGACGGGAAGGCGCCAGAACGCCGCAAATACCAGTGTTTCTTGCTTGCAAAGCTGAAAGCACTGCGATTTGCAGTGTTTTGTGACGATGCAGAGCGCGGTGTTATCTCGCTTCGGGAGGTACAACTTCAAGCAGGAAACATCACAACATATGCACAGATCAGATCAATGGTGATCGAGGACTACAGAGCAACAGCATCATTCACCAGGCTACAAGCAATCGCATCAAGCAACAACATTCAAGGACCGGCACCAATGGACATAGGAGCAACATGGTACAACAAAGGAAAAGGAAAGAAGGGCAAGCGCAAGGGCAAAGGAAAGTACAACAAAGGCAAAGGCTACGGCAACTACGGGAACAACTACAGCAACAACAGCTACAAAGGAGGAAAAGGCAAGTACAATCAACAACCGGTTGGACAAGGAAATCCATTCAAAGGACAACATGGATATGGCAAAGGAAAAGGATACAGCAACAAAGGAAAAGGCAAAGGATACTACAACAACCAACAAGGAGGAAAAGGAGCAAAAGGAAAACAAGCTTCAAATGTTTGCTACAGATGTGGACAACCAGGACACATGGCCAAGTGAGGTTAAACAGCCAATTCTTTCGGTTACACGACTGGTGGAACAAGGTTTCCAACTGACACTGGATGACAATCCAAGACAGAACAGAAATGGCCTGTTCTTCCTACAAGCAGAAATCACAACATTGCCAAAAAGGAACAAAGCTACAGATACACAATACAGAACAAGGACAGATTGGTATGATAGCACCGACCACAACGCTTACACCACACAAGGAGAACTTGTCAGAGTACACAGACAACACAGGAAGACACGTTTCACACCATCAAGAACACAGTGTCCTGTTCCAGCAGAGCAACTAGAGGATTACAGGAAAACAACAATCAGGTCCAAGGGCGGCGCAACAAATGCATTTGAGGGCAAGTGTCAAACAACAGAAGATCCAAACAAAGCACAACCAAAGTCGCCAGAAACGCTACAGCAACAGTTTACAATAAAGACACAGCCAAGGAGCGAGCCACAGAGGATCACACCACAAGTGATTACAATCCACGAACGAGGTTGAAAACACCACCAAGGAGTCAGCAGCGCCACACACCACCAAAGGTGCAGCTGGACAAGGAATTCCACATCCTTCAGAAGTACATCCTGGAGGACTGGTACAGAGAAGGCCCATACTGGAAGAGAGTACATGTTGAGCCTAGAACAGCGTTTTACATACCAGAGCAGACACACGACGGGCCAGACATCAAGCGACTCATGCCTTGGAGACAGACCAAGGTACAACCAGTTGGAGGAGAAAGACAACACACAAGATTGATAGAAGATGAATGGACAACACAGCCAGCAAAGACGTCAGACAAGCCTTGGACAGGCTGGACAATTTTTGAGGAACATCAGGAGTTCCCAGCGCAACTTGAGTCAGATGATGAGGAACAACAACAAAACAGCAAAAGCAGTACAAGTGCCCAACCAACACCACAGAAGATACTCGAGCGCAACGTGACACATCTCCCTTACAGGAGTTGGCGTCCATTATGCGTACAAGCAAGAGGCAGACAGAACAATCGCCCAAAGCAACTTTGATGATAGCAACGTACATCCAATTCTCACAGTAATTGACATCCAGTCAGGGATGATCATGGCACTACAACTGACAGACAAGAAGATGCTTTTTGACTACGCAGCAGCACTTTTTCATTGAATGTGGAAGGACAACACACACGATTCTACAATCAGATCAAGAAGACTTCCTGACAGCGCTCACAACAGCAGTGGCCAACAAGAATGGCAACATCACCACAAGGAACTCAGGAGCAGACAGTTCGCAATCACAAGGAGGAGTAGAGCGAGCGCACAGAACATTGTTTGCGCAAATCAGAACACTCAAGGCACCGATCAGACAAAACTACAACAGAGACATTTCAATGAAACATCCACTCATGCCTTGGATAGTTCGACACA